AAAAAAAAAGGGGTAGCAATAGGTCTTATAGGCATCTAAGAAAACTGACCAATGTGCTGTAGGTCACTGATACCCCCCCATTTTAACTATTTCAAATTAATTTCTTTCTGCTTTTAAATTTAAGAGGTCCATTTTAATCTCCATTCTGAACCTCTGTATTACTTGTTCTTTAATAGGGTGAAGAAAAAAAAAAACCTTATTTCAGATTCTTTGAATAGAATCTTACTATGAATCCATTTAAAATAAAAATTTTAGTTCTTTATATAAACATGTCTCTCAACCCCAGAGTTCTTGTCCTTTTAAGGAAAAGACGTAGAAATGCTGTGTCATTACAGACCATGTACATACAGATCACGTACGTAGTGACCCGACCCTGGCCCTCAGCCTTGCTGATGTCTCTGTAGCATGATCAGAAACCTTACAGCAAACTTTACATGCACAATACAGGCACTAAGTGAGAACAAATGAACACTTTCTAGTTAGGGGTACCTAAGGGCTTTCCAATTCAATCATGAAGAGCAGAAACAGAGGTAGGGGGGAAAGGAGAAAAACATTTGTTTAGCTGAGTCAAATAAACCACTACTGCTTACCAAACAACAACTACTCTGTAGTAACTGTAGTAGTTAATTAGAAAGTAATTAGAAAATGGAAAATGTGAAAGAAAACAATCTCTGCTGCAAAAAACAGATTTTGTTGAAAGAAACAATACAAAACTTTTCATAAGACTTATTTAAGCTCCTAATAATTACGATCAGCAAAGTATACTCAGAAATGGAAAAGCAAGAAAAACAGTTCATATTGCTTCAGAGAGAACAAAACATGAGGATTTTTTTTTTTTTTTTGGCCTGGGCTTCTTTCCAGGGTTGAATGAGTTTATTTAATGACCAAAATTCTGTCCTTAAAAATAACTCAAAGTATTTTAATCTGGTGAAGGTTAAGTTAGCAATTGAAATCTATTTAATCACTTCCATAAAATTTCTTTTCTTGAACATGGGACTACTTCAGTTAACCTTTACTTTTATATATTTGAATATACCATTTCACTTTTGTATACTTGAATATACCATTTAACCCTCGCTTCCAGTAAAACTACATTTTATGTGTGGTTTGGGCCAAGCGACAAACAGATTACTGAGATTTGAAGGTTTAAGCCAGGGAAAAGAAATAAATTAACACTCTAGGGTCTGAGAGTATAAAATTTAGTATCTGTTAAATTTCACTTAACCCATTACAAAATATGACAAAATTATTCCTCACAAAAAAAGCTTCAAAGAAATTAACTATAACTATTTCTCAAGTCCTTTAAATTCTCCAAGTAAAAACAAAAAGAGGATCAATTATTCAAGTAAATACATGTTAGTCACTTGTGTACAAGATACAAAGTGCAAATGGCCCCCAGGGTCCTATAATCTAGTTAAGGAGATACGAAATGAGCACACAGAAAAAAAATGCTAAAAGACCGAAATATTAGCATTAAATTATCTTTCAGGCCCAAAAAACTACTAGGTAACATATACACATATATATTAATATAACAGCCTAATATTAATAACAATAATAGCAGGTATTTGCATTAGTGATTACTACAAATACTTTTTGCTTCTGCCTGAATTTATTCACTTTTCACAATAATCCTAAGGTTCAGTAATGATATAGGTATTTTTACTAGTTCCTTTTCACATATGAGAAAACTGAGGTATGCAGAACTTAAATACCTTGCTCAAGGTCAGATGGCTAGCGAGTTGTGGAACAAAAATTCGAAACAGTCTGGTTCTAGAGTCTGTGCTCTTAACCCCAACACTGAATTGCTAAAATTCCTGGGAGTGAAAAGGCCTCATGTCTTCAAGAAAGCCTGAAGAAAAATGGAGACCTCATCTTTCTACACACTTTATATCTAGAATCTGATGTTTGGAATTTCTTTCTCTAAGTGAGTTATACAAAATTCACTGATGACAAAATGGATTCCTCCCACCCCACCTTCTGAAGGGTATACTATCCACTAGGCACTGATCTAAGTGCTTTGCAGATATTAATTCATTTAATCTTTACAACTACTAGTAGTGAAGTGAGAACAATGTGACTCAGAGAAGTAATTTGCCCAAAGTCAAAACACTCAGTAGATGGTGGAGTTGACCTCTGAACTCATGCAATCTTTACTCCTAACTGTTACACTATCCGCCTCTCCTAAAAATAAAACCTTAGATTCTGTCCTTACACTTCTCTTCAGATAAAGGATGTCAGCTTTAGTATTGACATTGACAGACTTCATAAGATTTAGGGATTTTGAACTGCCAACTAGTCTACAGAAGTATATTTGAAAAGAATTCTAGTTTCTGGAATTCTAGACCATGTCAATTTGGTCTACCACTATATTCCTAATACCTAGCATAGTACCTGACACATAATAGATACACAATGAATATTTGTTAAATAAACTGAATGACCTCAAATTTACATAGTATTTTGGTTTCTTTTTCCTCCAACCCCATGTAAAGTGTTTTGGCACATCACTCAATACAATAAGGTGGTTAATCCAAGTAATTTAATGCACAAAAAATGTTGCTCCCTAAGAATAATCAGTTTTTGTTTCTTAAAAGTTTTAAAAACTCAAAAGTATCTTAATGAAGATAAAATCCTCTAAATAAAACTAAAATGCTGTATTATAAAAAGCAAAACAGCAAGATTATTCAAAGTAATAAAAATTATCTTACCTTTGAGCCATCTAAACTGATTATCCTATACACATTTCTTGTGCTGTCATAGAAATAAGACACAGTAACTGCATGCTTGCTGGTGGGTACCCAGTTCTTCTTTGTGTTTGGGTCAATCTGGAAGACATGAGCTCGGGTGCTGAAGATAGGTTGTTCCCTGCAGGGCAGAAAAAAAGTGAGTGGCTGAAAGCAGCCAGTTTTATTCCACTGGACAAAAGAACATGAAAACTGTTAAGGATGACTCTGCTTAACCAACCACTCCCACATACCTGAAAATAAGAGAAACTTTCTTCCAAATTTGAATATTTTAAGTGTTCAATCATAAGCTTCTTTAAAATAACTATAGCCAATCCCCATTATCTGCAGATTCTATATACGTGAATTCACCCACTTTTATTTATAACCCGCAAATCAATACTAACAGCATTTCCTTAGTCCTTTGCAGATATGCACAGGGCAGTGGAAAAACACGTCACCTGACATGCACATTTCTATCTGAAGTTGAACAAAGCAACATTCTGCCTTCTTGTTTCAGCCCTCATACTATATAAACAAATATTCTTTTTTTGGTCTACATAGCACCACGTTTTTCACATTTTTGTGCTTTTTGTTCGGTGCTTTCACTGTTTAAAATGGCCCCTAAGCATAGTACTGAAGTATTCCTAGGTCCAAGAAGGTTGTGACGTGCTTTATGGAGGAAATATATGTGTTAGATAAGCTTCATTCAGGCCTGAGTTATAGTGCTGTTGGCCATGAGTTTAATGTTAATGCATTAACAATACATATAAATGTCTTTAAATAGAAACACACATAAAACAAGGTTATGTACTGATTAGTTGATGAAAATGCGACCAGAGGCTCATAGGAACATGACACTGTATTTTCCCTAGGAGCAATGATTCAGTACAGTATTTGTTAATTCAGCCTTCCTGACACCTTTATAGAATAAAACTACAGCAAGTAAGAAGAATCAGCTGCACCTTGTTAAAATATAAGTATCTTATACTTGACCTCTACTCATTTAAAACTACATTATTCTAATAATAGGTAAATAACTTACTAGGAAAGTTTACATTCAATATAATTTCTACTACATTGAAAAGTACATAAAAAACAAAGTTGCTCAAACAACAAATATCTTTTTGGTTTTTTTTAAGACAGGGTCTCACTCTGTCACCCAGGGTGGAGTCCAGTGGCATGATCATAGCTCACTGTAACCTCAAACTCCTGGGCTCAACTAATCCTCCTGCCTCAGCCTCCCAAGCAGCTAGGACTACAGAAATGCGCCATCATGCCTGGTTAATTTATTTATTATTTTATTTACTTATTTTTGAAACACAGTCTCGCTCTGTCACCCGGGCTAGAGTGCCATGGCATCAGCCTAGCTCATAGCAACCTTAAACTCTTGAGCTCAAGTGATTCTCTTGCCTCAGCCTCCCGAGTAGCTGGGACTACAGGCACACACCATCACACCCAGCTAATTTTTCTATTTCTTATAGAGACAGGGTCTCACTTTTGCTCAGGCTGGTCTTGAACTCCTGAGCTCAAGTGATCCTCACTCCTCGGCCTCCCAGAGTGCTAGGATTACAGGCGTGAGCCACCTCGCCAGGCCAATTTTTTTTTTTTTAGAGATGGGGTCTTGCTATATTGCCCAGGGTGGTCTCAAACTCCTGGGCTCAAGCGATCTTCTTGCCTTGGCCTCCTGAAGAGCTAGGATTGCAGGTGTGAGCAACCATGCCCAGCTCACAAATATCTTTTAAGTAGGGCCTTAAAGATATACAATAGAGATTTTTTAAATCATGAATTTAAAAGACCAAAACTAATCAAAAATATATATTCAAAATATGATTATTACAGAATTTTTCACAGTATCAAAAATAAGCATGAGCTGATCTACATATATTATAATAGAAGTATTATAATGTAAAAATTTCCAAGTTCTGAGTAAAAATTCTTTTGGAAACAGCATTTATCAGGCTTTTGGTTTTTTCAGCCCAAATAAAGTTCATCTCTTTCATTTTACTACACACCTTTCTTTGCTAAAGCAGCTCATGGTCCTAAAGAGAATTTTAACTAGTAATATTCAATGTTCAAAATTAGATAAATTTTAAAGAATTTAAAATATTTTTTAAAATTTAAAGAAAGGAAAGGGAACATGGAAAAGAGCAAAATTAGAAAAACAGCCAAGGCAAATCTGGGTCCTTGGCACCATGGCTCTTCAGGTTAATAATAGTACGTAGTAGCCAGGGATGTTGCTGAACATCTATAATGCACAGGACAGCATTGTAGATGCTCACATAACAAAGAAGTACCAGCTCAAAATGGCAACAGTGATGAGGTTGAGAAATCCTGACATAGCAGATGAAGGAGGAATCTGAATCTCCTGGGTTTCTAGTTTAGGTGACTGAAGAGAAGACAGTGCCACTAGCTAGGATGAAAAACAGAAAGTAAGTCTCAGATTAGGAGAATGGAAGGGGAGGATGAGCTCCGTTTTTGACAGAATTTTGATGCCTGCAGGGTTTGCATGTAGAACTGTTGGGTCAGGAACTTAAAAACACCAGTTTGAAGCTCAGCAGAGAAAACTAGGCTGGAATGAAAAGTTGGGGAATTACCAGGAGATCTTACGACCAGTCTGATTAAGATATATTTCAACACTAAGCATGTCAATAAATTTCATGTAGAGAAAAGCTGTAGAAGCAGTAGTAGAGAAGCTACACCTGAAATCTTAAAGCTCTTATCCTCTGAAAAAGACCTGTAATACATTTGAAACTGATTGTTCCAAGTGTCCAATTGCTAAAGTTAAGATCTTTTCAAATAAACCAGGTGGCACTCATAAATAAAGGTTAAACACTACTTTCTTTACAAGAATTCGTACAAATACTAACTGGATCAAATACCAGCATTTCTCAAAATGTGTTCTGTTGACAAGTATGAGAAATGAGTGTTCCATGTTTAAATAAGTTTTGCAAACCCTGTGTTATATCCTATTCTAAAATATTTATAACATACATTAGCATATTAAAGGTTCTGAGGAATCCTACAGTAAGGAAACCCATCTAACCCTGAATAACCGAGCACATGGCAAAATTGTTTGACCTCAGAATTCTTTTTCGTGTAATACAGTAACATCTCCTAGGATTTATAACCACAATATGAAAATCAAAAGACATATTCTGAGGTAAATATCTCACTGAAAGTTGGTCTGGATATTCTACCACCTTTACTGACATTACTAATTATATTTATTACAACACAAGTTTGAGGCCTTATTTAGTAATGGTTACAGTATTATTTCTTAAATAGATATTAAGAACACTCAAAATGCCTCTTCTAAGCAGCTAAACATTAATCTAAAAATCAATTTTAAAAGCACATAGATTTGGCATGAAATGCTTTAAACTAGCCTAGAGAAGCAAAACTATACACACAGACACACCCACATTTTAATCCTAGGGAATCATCGACTTCTAATTTCTTCTATCAGTAACCAGAACAGTAAGTAGTTCAAACTCTTTCAGTGATATAAGAAAAGCTTACTGGAGTATTTTCCTGTTGGTTCATAAAGTAATTCTAGGAAACTGTTATAAGAACAATTCCAAAGTTCTTCATCTTGAGCTAAAATTCTATAAAAGTACCATATATAGTGATAGATTCTAAAACTTAATATGGATGTAGAAAACTGGATAAATGTTAAATGTAAGATAATCCTGAGGAAAAAGGTAATAAAATGAGAATTTTGTTTTAAAAATAAGACAGATTCGAACTCATTAGAGTTGACATAAAGAATTATTACATTTAGGCTGGGAACAGTGGCTAATGCCTGTAATCCCAGCACTCTGGGAAGCCAAGGTGGTAGGAAAGCTTGCGGCCTGGAGTTGAAGACCAGCCTGAGCAACAGAGCAAGACCCCATCTCTACAATAAAAATAATTAGCTGAGCATGGTGGCACACGCCTGTTGTCCCAGCTACTTGGGAGACTGAAGCAGGGAGGATAGCTTGAGCCCAGGAGTCCAATGTTACAGTGAGCTAGGATCATGCTGACACCATGGAGCCTAGGTGACAGAGTGAGACCCTGTCTCAAAAAAAAAAAAAAAAAATGAATTAATTAATACATGTAACTCTCAGGCATCTGTATAATAAGAAATGAAGATCATGAAAAACTGAAGTAAAATAAGATGACTTTGCCAGGAGATATACAAGTTCCAGATCTAGAAAAAAAGCACATTAACATTTGTCATTTGGATAGCTTTGATTTAAGAAAAAAAAAAAGTCAGTGATAATGCTGTTTAAAAATTATAAGTCCATACTTTTGCAAATATTATGTGGTTACTCAATAAATCTTCTTTCCAAGAAAGTGCAAAGGTATGGATCCAATAAATACAATCATACTGAAGGGAAGGAAGAGATATTATACATTTCCTAGTCTACCTTTAATACCTAGCTTACAAATGCCCTTTTCAGATATATACAAACAGCTAATGTAGCAAAGCGGATATAAAAGAAGATTATGGTTTCAAATAATTCTGTAACTTTCTACTTAATTTTTCAAAAGAAAGTACCCTGGCAGAAGTGTTAGAAACAAGGCTGGTAATAACTTCCATGGAAAGTCTGACACTGTTGCAGAGTTGCCTATCTACCAACTATTCTTCCTTGCTGCTCCCCAGCAAACCTGAGATATTCTACCCTCCTTCACACAACTGTAAACTTCACTAAGGATAATCATGGCAATCCCATTCTTGCCAGAAGTTAGGTTTGAAATGGACCTCTAAAGTAATTCTGGTTAATGAAATAGCCAAGGAAAGTTTGCTGGAAGCTCCTAGGTACACTCACAAAGAGACAATACACATATAAGAAGGAATGTTCTCTTAAAGAATATGTTTACATAGCCATCTTAGTACTGTGAGGGGAACATGCCTGAGAACAAAGCCAACATTCTTTGTTAATAATAGCAGATGGAAAAACAGAGAATCTGGTTCCTTGATTATGTCACTGAACCCATGAATCAGCTTACCTTCAGGCTTAGTATGTGATAAAACAAGTTTTCTAATTGTTTGAAAAAGTTGTCACTTTAAAAATTACAAAGTAATAGTTGAGGAAAGAGGTTTACTTTTAATTAACTCTGTAACAACGTGCCCCCCCCCCTCCAATAAACTGTGAT